AGAGAGAGAGAGAGAGAGAGAGAGAGAGAGAGAGAGAGAGAGAGAGAGAGAGAGGCTGTATGTGTGTGTGAAATTGAGTAAGATCAAACTTGGAATTTGACTTCTATCTGTGACTTAAGTTATTCTGCCTTGCTTACATGTTGCTGCTGTGGTACTTTTCATTACCAGGTTGTTTGATGGGGATGTTAAGCTGGGCTGCCCTGTAGTGAAGTTTATATGAAATAAACTGCTTATGTGCCTTAGTTAAGCAATATACATGAAACAAGAAGGAAACGGAATACTGGGTAATAAATTTGAGTTGTAATACAGCATTGTTAACCAGTCACACCACAAGTGGATATAATGCTTAAAGCATTGTTACCCAATCACATCACAAGTGGTTATAACTCTTACAGCCTTGGTAGCCAGTCACATCTCAAGTGGGACTAAATTAAAAACATCACAGTAAAAAAAAAATCTTATGTATTTATGCCCTGTGGAGAGATGTCATCCAGGCTGTAAATCATAGCACGTGAGGAGTTGTTATGGATTATAAATACACTCTGTTATGCTAAGAAAGGTATGTCCCTAGGAAGTTGTTTCTCTGACATGGTCCAGATCTGGGAGAGAAGAGGATGCTTGGGGGTGGTGCAAGCCATGCAATTAAATGCAAGTGACACTTGAAAACTGAAATTAACGTCTTTGTCTGGGTGTGAAATTCCGTTTATTCTGAGAGCATAGTTTGTCCTTAGGCCCTAGCATATACTTAATAAAATGAATTTTCATATTGTATATATGACAGACTGATTTCTCATCATAAATATGGGGTATCTGGTTCTTTTCTAGGTTTGTGACTTGGCTTTTAGCCTGAAGAAAATGCTCATCCGACACAAGATGACTCACAATCCAAACCGCCCAATGGCAGAGTGCCATTTTTGTCATAAGAAGTTTACAAGAAATGACTACCTCAAAGTGCATATGGACAATGTTCATGGTGTAGCAGACAGCTGATGGTAGCTGTCGAGGAACCAAACCATGTAGAAGGGGCTTCTAATATGAATCCCAGATTCTTATCACCTGATCAGCTTAACAGAAATAACCAAAAGCAGTGCATTGCTCTCTCAGTGTTCATTTGCCTGCCTTTGGAATTTAGAGATGGACATGTAAACAAAAATCTTAATTTTACCAAAAAGAAATGCAAGTAAAAAATAATTCTTTGTAGCTTACAAAATGCTTTAAGTTATGTTTGTGTTCTAGCTGATTAAAAACTAAATACAATGTTATGGCTCTTGACTTCTTTTATGGAATTTATTAACATATTCCCCCATTAGGCATTTGTGTTCTTATTTGTGTGTGGGAAAGTAATCACATGTAAATATCAGATATTGCAGTTGGTTCTTACCAATTCAGACAGAAATCAAGACATTCAAGTATTTAAATCAAGACAGTTTATCCTATTTAAAAGCTCCATTTAACAATTATAATATAAATGGACAGATATAGATATGTTTGAGAATTAAGGTCTATTTAGATATTGCTTACTTTAGAGAATCTCAGAACACACTGTTTGAATGTATCATTCAGATGCTTGTTCATGCTTTGAAAATTCTTTATATGGTCAGCAAAAAAAAACTGCTATATTGAATTTTTATGAACCTGATCATTCGGAGTTTTACTTTCCATCCTTAGGAATTAGCAATAATGAGCATACCCAGCTAGAAATAGAAGTAGATGGACATTTCCCCATCGTCACCTGAGTTATGCCGAGGTGGCCTGGGCAAGTTCTTAGTACAGGCATAGCGGTCTTCAGAGCCTTTGTCTTTCTGGTGTGATTTTACAAACAGTTTTGAAATATCCTCAATCATCCCATGGAATTAGAAATCTGGAATATTAAAATGTAAGTTTTCTCATTGTTATTGTTTAAATTCATATCTACAAAATATTTGATAAGGAACAAGTGACGATGACATAATATAATAACAATGTCAAAACAATTGAGAGATCCAAAATGTAAGAAGCCCAGTTCCTAGACCAGTGTGACCAGAACCCGTTTAGAAGAGAGAAACATTAATTAAATGGAAGTCATTCAGTGGTGAAGAGTTGAGGAGAACAGTTATCTAAGGGCTTGAGCATCTTAGTTTAGAATCACAGGAAACACAAAGATTCACTATGGACATTTAAAGCCTTTGAAAATACTATGCTTAAAACTTACATAAGATAAATTTTAAAGAGCCAGAAGTGAGGAGGACTAGACTAAATTAGTGCCTTCTAGAGAGAGAAAGAGAGTCTAAATTAGAGGTAGCCATCAAATTCCTTCCCTCAGAGCTAAGAAAATCACACAGGAGAAGAGGCAAAAGATTCTAAGTGTCAGAGTGGGAATGGAGGACAAAAAGAGAATATGGTCCTCTGAATTAACTGAGCAAGGTACATAAGAGCTCATAGAAACTAAAGCAGCAAGCACGGAGCCTGCATGGTCTACGCCAGGGTCTTTGCATATATGTATTATGGCTTACAGTTCAGTGTTTTTATGGGATTCCTGATTGTGCAAGTGAGTGGGTCTGTGATTCTTGTGCCTTCTCTTAGGGTTTGTTTTTTTTTTCCTTTTGCTGGATTGTCTTGTTGAAATATGATGTGATAACTTTTGCTTTTTCTTACTATATTTTATGAAAACCTAGCCACTATGGTAAAGGCTAACAACTTATACCTTATGGGAGAAGAAATATCAATTTTCTCCAATAGAATGACACTGTGTATACCAAGCACCTCAGGCAGACCTGATGTTCAGGAGTAGTTAGCCAATATATAATGGACTCCACAGTTTGCTTTGTTTTGTTTTGTCTTCTTTTATTTGGTTAGAGTTTAGTGGGGTTTGTTTGCTTTTCTTTTCTTTCTTTATGAATGTCATTTTCTTTCATTTTCTCTGTTTTGAGGGGTTGTTATTTTATTGGGTTTTGTTTCTTGAGAAATAAAGTTGGGTGGAAAGAGAAGAGGAAAGGATCAGCAAGTACTTGGGTGAAGGGAAGAATAGAATCAAAATATATTTAAAATTTAAAATGTTTTTAAACAGTAAAAATAAGCATTGTTTTCAATTTTCTTTTTATTGAAAATAGATTATTTTTTCATATAGTAGATCCCATTATAATTTCCATTCCCTCTACTCCTCCCACTACCTTCCTATCTCTCATTAGAAAAGAACAGGCTGCTAGGAGTTAACAAACAACATGACAAATTAAAATATAGTAAGATTAAACAAAAACTATCATTTCAAAATTGGACATGGCAACTCACCAGAGAGAAAGGGTCCCAAGAGCAGACACAAGAGTCAGAGACCCACTAATTTACACACTCACGAGTTCTGTAAAACTACTAAGCTGGAAGCTATCATACATATAGAGAGGACCTGGTGCAGACAGATTTAAGCCCTGTGCTTGCTGCTTTAGTCTCTCTGAGTTATATGAGCCTTTCTTTATTGGATGGGTAGGGAGGGGTAGAAGATTTAAGTAAGGGGAAGAATATGATAAAAATATATTTTAATTCAAAATTTGTTAAATAATAAAAATAATCATTCTTATTAATCATAAAGAGAACATATAAATGACTTAATAATTGTAATGGTTTGAATAGGAATGGCCCCATAGGCTTACAGATTTGAATGCTTAGACACTAGAGAATGGCACTATAGGAGGTGTGGCATTGTTGGAGTAGGTGTGAGGCCTTGATGGAAGTTTGTCAGTGAAGTGGGCTTTTTTTTTTCTATTTATTAAAGATTTCTGTCTCTTCCCCACTGCTGCCTCCCATTTCCCTCCCCATCCCCCCATAAAGTCCCCCTCCCTCATCAGCCCAGGTCTAGTAAGGTGAGCATCCAAACTGTCTAGGCTCCTACAAAGCCAATACGTGCAGTAGGATCAAAAACCCATTGCCATTGTTCTTGAGTTCTTAGTAGTCCTCATTGTCCGCTATGTTCAGCGAGACCCTAGATATCTCTCTGTCTTCCTGCTGCCTGCCTATCTAGATATAACAATATCAACTACCTCTCCAGCACCATGTCTGCCTTAGTACCTCCATGCTTCCTGCCATGATAATTAGCTAAACCTCTGAACTGTAAGCCAACACCAAATAAGAATGACTAAGACAATTANGCCTATCTAGATATAACAATATCAACTACCTCTCCAGCACCATGTCTGCCTTAGTACCTTCATGCTTCCTGCCATGATAATTAGCTAAACCTCTGAACTGTAAGCCAACACCAAATAAGATCATGGTATGTCTTCACAGAATGACTAAGAAAATAATAACTCCAAAAAAAAAAAAAAAAAAACAGTGAGAAACAAATACAAATCAATTACAATTCTAAACCCAGGTGATAGCAAAAAAATAATAAAATATGAACAGATATTAATGAAATTGAAGCAAAGAAAACAATACAAACAATCATTACAAAAGCTGATTTTTGAGAAAATAAACAAGGGTGATAGATCTGTGGACTGACTAACCAAAAGAAATAAAGAGAAGACCCAAATAAACAGAATCAGAAAAAAAAAACTATGAGACATTATAATAGACACCAAAGAAATTTCAAATAAATATCTCAAAAACCTGTACTTCAATAAGTTGAAAAGTCTAAAAGAAATGGATGGTTTACAGCCAAATCAGCCAAATTAAATGAAGAAGGAGACGAAACCTAAACAAACACATAGTAAATGAGGAAACTGAAATGATAAAAAAAGTCTTGCAGCTAAAATATCCAGGGTCAGTTGGATTCATAGCAGATGCCTACTAGACTTTTAAAGAAGATCTATGGTTAATCCTTCCCAAGCTATTCAAAAGCAAAAATAGAAAAGCACTCCCAAAAGCCCCTATCATTCTAATACCAAAGCCAGATAAAACTAGACAAAAAACAAACAAACAAAAAAACCTATAGACTAATAGCCCTGATGATCACAGATTAAAAATGCTCAATAAAATACTTTCTAACAGAATACAGTCATATGTATACATATATATACATATACATATATATATATATATAGTTATCCACACATGACCAAGTTGAGTTTATCCCTGAAATTCAGGGATGGTTCAATATATGCAAATCAATCAATGTATAAATCACATAAGTTGATTTAATGTTAAAAAAATGACTACCTTAATAAATGTAGAAAAGGCCTTTGAGAAAATGTGCACATATGCACTATAGAATATTGTTCAGTTGTTAAAAGGAAAATAAAATTATGAACTTTGACCGAAACCAGGAAAGATTAGATTGAGTGAATAACCCAGACCCTAAGAGACAAATGTTGGATGTCTTCTTTCATATGAGGCTCCTAGCTTCAAATGCTCATGTATGAGTATATATCTTAGGCTAACTGCAGAAACCAGGAATGTAAAAATGGACGATGGCTTGCAGAGTGGCAGGTGCAATGCAGAGAAAGATAATGGTATACATGATCTGAAAGGGAAATGGAAAAAACAGGTGGGCTTTCATTGGTGGTTATGGTGGTGTAAATACAGGAGAAAGAAGGAGAGTAAAATATCAGGACGTCTAACAACGCCATAAGGAATCATTCAATCACCTAAAAAAACTGTAATACATATATATGTGCATACATACATATATGTGTGTAAATGTACATATATAGTTTGAATGAAAATTTCTAATTGTTTCTGTTGCTCCCTCCAAGAGCCAAAGACCAGCTAACAAAAACTCCAATACCAGGGATGAGAAGCCCTCTTTCCAGTTGTTGTTTGGGGTTGTCCAAGGTATTTCCCCCAAATTACAAGACATTGCCGTGGCCCCTCAGAGGTGGAAAAGAAGTTCCTATTGCTGAAGACAGAGTGTACTTCAGAAGCAGGACCCAGAAGGCCCTGATCTGGAACTGGTCTGAAAGACTATTCCCTGAGAACTAATTTCCATGGTATCAGAAGACACCATGCAAGCTTCCAAAGAAAGGAAGTAACTACAGCCTTACCTAGCTGTGATGCCTATTAATCACAGTAACGACTAGAATGGCAAAATACACACAGGGGTGAAGTAGTGGCACACATACTTGGTGGGAATAAGCAGCTCTATAGTTGGACTTAAGACCTATTGGACAAGAGAAACGTTATGAGTGGAACTGAAAACTTAGCCATCTACCTAGGGCAAATGAAGTGATGAATCTTGGAAGAAGAATCACAACCACACCACTTTACTAAACCAGCATAATCCCTAAGTATAGCCTAAATATCTGTCCTTATATATATATGTGTACTCCTTGCCCCTCATCAAATAATTTTCTCTTTGCTACAGGTGTAGATCATTACAGAAAACCACAGCCAAACAAAATGCAGAGTTCTGAAGCCCATTCCCAGCAGATACATCTACATCACAACTCTTTAACATAAGGCCCAGGGAGCATTGTGGAAGAGCAGGCAGTAAGATTGGAAGAGCTAGAAGAATAGAGAGTTTACTATGAGATGGTATCTCCTAGTAATGTCAGAAGCTACACCCATCACCAACATGACTCTGTAAACATGTTGAATAAGGATAACAACATGCAAGCCAAGTGGTTACATTAATGTTCAGGAGGCCTCAATCCTACATAAAGAACTAAAGGCAGTCAAGGAATGATGAGAGCAGGAGAAATAGTTTTCCTTGAGGAAGAGCACACAAATTGATTAATCCAATACTAAATGATCAGTCCTGAAAATATGCATACAGTAACATCATACAGATTGAAAACTATATATTTAAGAATATATAAAGTGTATATGTGTATATGTCTCTGTAATAAAAATTAATGAAAAAAGTCATATATAAGAGGATTTTCAGGGAAGAAATGAAAGAGGGAAATAAATTAATTATATCATAATCTAAAAAATAAAAAAATTAAAAAAAAGAAATGTAGAGTAGTTTTAGATTATGCCTAACATGAATAAATGGGCAGCAAGACACACATGTGTGAGTCAGCCTGGTGGCAAGCACATTTACCAACTGAGCCATCTTAGCAGTCCTGAATTTGTATCCCTTATGTCTATGCCACATTGGTAAACACACAGGAGTGGGAAACTAACGTTCTAAATGATGCCAGTAATTCATATGTTTATAATAGGGAAGGAATGTGGGACTGCTAACACTCTTGTTGGTTATTACGTGAATTTGTAAGAACAATCGCTGTTCTTATAAAAATCCAATACATCTGGAAAGTTCTTGCACTAACCATTTTCCCCAGCTCATAAAAGAGATTTGGATTATTGCATTATGCCACAGGCAGATTTATCCTCTAGAGATACTAAGATATTTTTCCCTCAAAAGTAATTTTCTGTATTTTACTTTTACTTGAGTACATTTTTTAATGTAGAAAAGTGATTTTTATTTGTTTATTTTGTTTTGATTTTTCAAGACAAGATTTCTCTGTAGAACAATCCCAGCTGTCTTGGAAATTGCTTTGTAGACCAGGCTGGTCTTGAACGCATAGAAATCCGCCTGCCTCTGCCTCCCAAGTGCTGGAATTAAAGGTGTATGCCACCACTTCTCAGTGTGAAATGTATGTTTTTGAGAAACAATAATTGTTAAAAATTATTTCATTCATAATGTCTGACAAACTGGGAATGGTGTTTTATAGTGTCTGATGAATTGTTCCTGTCTTTCTGTCAGACTTACATAGTATCATTCGTATAGGTTACTAGACTTGTGTTAAAAGTCTGTCCTAAAATCGAAATGTGCTAATGTACACATAACATGAAATTTATCATCACTGGGTTTAAATAAAAAAAAAAAAGGCCCATCATTGCAGACTTAACACAAGTCTTCTGTATAACTCAGCTGATTCAATATAACTGATAATGTTCATTTGAAAGTCAAATAGATTCTTTAACTAATATTCCAGTGAAAACTGCATGTTAAACTATCAACATGCTACCCAAGATGTGCCTACTAGTGCAGTAGTGGCACAACTGTCATAATTAAGCAATGGATTTAAGCATAAATATCAGAAAGAAATTTGATAGACATGTTCATATATCAAAACAATGGCAGTATCTTCTATACTTGAACCTATAATCTCTAGAGTTACAGGGTTTTTAATATGTTTACATTACGAGATGTGAATTTCCTCCTGTAGTGTGGAGGAGGAATAAGGAAAACATTGTTAATCCTTACAAGGAAGAAAACTGAGTCAGAGACAAGAGGCAGGAATGGCTGAGTAGAAGCTAAGAGGGAACAATGAGAATGTAGATACAAGAACACTGGAGATTTTGAGCCTCAGCTTCCCCCTCTACATTGGCCAAACAAATGATTAGAAAAGGAAGAGTGTGAACCCAGTGTAGCTGACCCTCAAATCCATGGACATGGATCTGCTTTTGTATGTAGTATAATCATACTGAAGAGCAAAGCCAGGCATCCTTAGGCTGGAATGTCTGCAGCTGAAATGCTAGTCAGAGGAAAGAAAAGAGACTAGTTGGTGCTCTAGGACAGAGAACAACGATAGCAGAGAAATCAGGATCACAAGATTGTCCTTAGCCCTGTGCAGTAAGGAGAGGTTGCTTTAGTCTGAGTGTTCGGTATTCTCTCATAATCCAGGAAAGATCTCTCACATCACACCTACACAGGTAGAACATCTAACCTGTCACAGGGCATGCTGGTATATGTGGCAGTGTGAGATGGGGTATGACACTGCTTTAATTTCCAGGCCTTATACATACAAAAACATTCTACCAATCTCGAATCTTACCTGGGCCACCAGAAAGAAAAGCTCAGCTTGCAAGTACTTCTGTCTGGTCTGGACTCACTTATTTGGGTTTTGAAAAGAAATGGCTGCACCACCACCAAGTGAACTGAAAACAAATAAGCAAAAGCTTAAAAGAAAAAAAGAAGCATTGCTATATCATTCCTATTTTTTTGTGTTTGTTTATTGTGTTCTCTCCATTATTCTTCCTTCCTTCCTTCCTTCCTTCCTTCGTTCCTTCCTTCCTTCCTTCCTTCCTTCCTTCCTTCCTTCCTTCCTTCCTTCCTTACTTCTTTGGTTTTTTGAGGCAGAGTTTCTCTGTGTAACAGCCCTAGCTGTCCTGGAACTAGCTCTTGTAGACCAGGGTGGCCTCAAACTTACATACAGAAATTCCCCAACCTCTGCCTCCCGAGTGCTGGGATTAAAGGCATGTACCACCACTGTAAGGCCTCATTATTGTTTCTTACATTTTATCACATGAGCTTTTCCTCTGTTTCTTTTCTCCACCTTTTAATTCCCTTTCTATGTTTTATTACTTAGCTAATAGCAATTCAGTTTTAAAGAAATAATTAAAAAGTTAATAGAATGAAATCAAAACTTATAAGAATTTTTAGGATATAGCAACACAGTTCTAAGAGAGAAATATAGCTGAGTGCTTAAACTAAAATATCAGAAAAATCTCAAATAACTTAATGATATGGCTCAAAGTTACAGGAAAACAAGTCAAACTCAAAGTCAAAGAATGGAAAGAATAAATAACTGCCAAGGCATAAAATTTATTTCATAAAATAGTGACTTAAAAACTACGTGAAGAATCAGTGAAACTAGGAATTGGTTCTTTGAAAAGATAAACAAGGTTGACAAAATATTAAGAAAATTAACCAGAATAAAAGAAAATGGAATTAATAAAACTAGAGATATAAATGGGTATATAACAGTGGATTCCAATTAAATTCGGAGAGTCACTGGGGAAAACTTAGATTTTTATTGGAAAATTTAAAATAAACAGATAATTTTCTATGCACAAATAACCTACCAAAATTAAGGCATGAGCAAGTTAAAGAGAAGTACAACAAGGAACATAATTACAGCAGTAATGACGATCCTTCCAACAAAGAAAAGCCCAGGACAGGAGGGATTCCCTGCTGGATTCTTCCAAACCATTAACAGTGTCAATTCCAGGCCTCCCCAATTGTTTCATAAAATAGAAAGGAAAAGAACACTATTAAACTCAATCTATGAAACCAATAATACACTCATACCAAAACCAGGTTAAGGACATAGCAAAGAAACCCATCCATGAATTTCCTTGATGGACACAGATACAAAACCCTCAAGAAAATGCTTGCAAATTGAATTCAAGGGCACACTAAAAAGAATTCTCACAAACTGTGAGCCAAGAAGGTTTCATTCCAAGGATACAAGGATGGCTAAATATATGCAAATCAATAAGTCTGGTGACACATTTAAATAGATTTAAATGTAAGTAAATTTAAGGACAGACATCATACAATCAACTCAATGGAAAGCCTTTGGGAAAATTCAGTATCCTTTACACAGAGAATATCTCGAAGAAACCAGTGACAACAAGACTATATCTTGAGAATTCCCATCATGTCCCACCTGGGTGTGATGATGGCTACAGTACCTTGCTTTCTGAGCAGCAGATCTGTCTGGGGCTATCTTGTTGAACTGTGAAAATACGAGGGTGTGTGGGGCTGGCAGGCGCGAGCCAATCTGGGCACTCATACGCATGCGCGGCCTCCTCCCCTCTACCACCCGCCTTCTAACACCATCTTCAGTTGGTAAACTCCAGAGTCTGCCACCTCCTGCTGAGCTGCGCCTCAGAGGTGGTGACTCTAGATGGGCATCCTTCTCCACAATAATCAGCCTGCCTGCGTGTGGTCTGCCAGCCAGTGCTCCGAGAAGTCCCAGGTGCCTGGTACAGCAACAGAAGCAACCTAAGCAATGGCGTCCATCAGGAAGAAACTGGTGATCGTGGGAGATGGAGCTTGTGGAAAGACATGCTTGCTCATCGTCTTCAGCAAGGACCAATTTCCTGAGGTTTACGTTCCCACAGTGTTTGAGAACTATGTGGCTGATATCGAAGTGGATGGGAAACAGGTGGAGTTGGCCCTGTGGGACACAGCTGGACAAGAAGATTATGATCGCCTCAGACCCCTCTCCTATCCAGACACTGATGTCCTCCTCTTGTGTTTCTCCATTGGCAACCCTGATAGCTTTGGGAACATCCCACAGAAATGGACTCCAGAAATCAAGCATTTCTGTCCCAACGTGCCAATCATCCTAGTTGGGAGCAAGAAGGATCTTAGGGATGACAGGCACATAAGACTAGAGTTAGCCAAGAGGAAGCAGGAGCCGGTAAAATTTGAACAAGGCAGAGATTTGGCGAACAACATGGGCGCTTTTGGGTACGTGGAGTGTTCTGCAAAGACCAAAGATGGAGTGAGGATGGTATTCGAAATAGCCACAAGGGCTGCTCTGCAAACGAATCGCGGGAAGAAAAAGCCTGGGTGCTTCATCTTGTGAAGCCTTAGTGCAAGCACAGCCCTGGTGCAGTTAATTTTCAAGCGCTATTTCGTAATCTTACTGTGTAGTTGCTAACCTTCTGTTTATGTATATGTCCGAGACTAAAAATCATAAGTCAGCTTGCTACCAGTGATTAGAAGGCAACCATGATTACTAAAGATGTCCAATCTGTCTGACCTGCCAGGATCCTGACTCTAACAGACCTGAAACATCGAGCACTAGGGGAAGAATTTATCATTTCTAGAAAAAGAAATGGTAGCTTTATTATTAGATTGTAAGTACTTTATGACATGGCCAACCTATCATCTGTCTGCTGCAAAGAATTCTGCGTCACCAGACTTTATCACAACTTTGATTGCCATCTTTATTTTTTTGATGAAACGTTTCTTCATGCAGCTGTGGTAGAGTAGGCGATCTATAATTTCTTGCTAGTTACTTTATAGTTGCTATGCAGTTAGTGCACGTTAATGGATGTTACCAGGAATAAGAACATCTACCCCAGACTAGAGGTAGCATTTTTGGTATAGTTGGATTCCCTAATACCAATATTTGTCATTTCCTCAGCAAGTGGTTGAAAGAAAAAATTTCGAAATAAAGTCATATGAAAAATTAATTTTTAAAGTTTCCATTTTCCTCTGATACAGTATAGCCATTCTCCTTCTTTAAGCCCTTCACAACTAGTACATCTTTCCAGAACTGGGCTAAGTAAATAGGAATCAGGTTTCACATCCTAAGGCAATAAGCCCTTGAAAGAGGCGTAGCCCTTCTCATCTGGTCTGCAGGGTCTGGATCTAAGTCACAGTGCCTCCCAGGGGATCCACCTGTTCTTATGAATGGCATGGGGTGTAAAGGTGGTCTTTGTCTCCAAGATGACTGAAATTTTTTTCTGTATGAGTTAATTTTTCCAACTAAAAGAATAAATGCAGTTTCTTAAGTGTATGTATGCAAGTATGCGTGTATGTGTGGGGGAGGTGGAAGCTGTATAGCCAACATTACACTCAATGCATTCTCATTGAAATAGGAAATTAAACAAGGTTTTCTATCTCCTCCATTCTTATTCATCATAATGTTAGTGTTTAGGGCAATAGGCAAAAGGAAAAGTGAAAAAAAGTAATAGGAGAGAAATGAGTCATGTTATCATGAAGTTCAGATGACACAATCTAATACAGAAGAGATCTCAATGACTTTACAAAAAAAAAAAAGAAGGAATCTTAGATTTGCTAACACTTAGTAGCAGAACATAGCATCAGCACACAATGCTCATTAAATTCAACTTGGGATGGTCCAGTGGGTAGAGCTTACCATATGAGCCTGGTGACTCCATTAAAATGCTTGATGCAGTGGTGAGCATCTCAATTTCCTGCACTGCTATGGTCATGTAGGACAAGGAGAGAAGGGGATCTACTGGAAGCTTGTGCGTTTGTGCATGTACAGTTTGTACAATACCGATCTTTAGAACAAGCACAAACTTCAAAACAAAAAATTGACTGGGATGGCAAGACAAAGGCAGTACAAGTACTATCAAAGCATCATTCTGAGCTGTAAAGAATTCTCATGAGCTTCTGGACAACAACTGACATTAGTTTCCTTAAAAAGTCATGAGTCCATTTGTTAGATGGCACACTGGGTTTATCACATGACCTTTTATGAACTGGAGGGACTGACTGTGGCATCTTCATTTGCTTCTAACCATCATACCTATCTGAAAGATGGATTGTTGTCCAATTCTGATCACTCACTATACGTCCTCAAATAGATTGATGCGTTAAAAATCTCTCTAAGGAAATAACAGGCTAACAGTAAATTAGTAATGCAAACAAAAGCAACCAACATAGAAGATGGTAATGATGCCTGTCATTTCTATGATTGTTGTTTGTCAATGCTATCAAAAGATAGGAATGGTGATGAGACACAACACTGGAATCTGAAGTTATCATGTCTATTTGAATTCACTATTTTTACCAAATTAAGACTTTAGTGTTCAACTTTAAATTCTTTTTAGGTTCATTGTTCTATATGTTTTACAATATTAAGCATATTGCATAGTGGCATATATGCATATTTTATAAATGAATTGAGGATTACACATTCAAAAATTATTGATATGGTGATTGGCAATAAAAGTGTACCTCTGAAGAGAAGTAAAATTATACTGAAAACTAAAGTAGTTCTGAATTATATCTTCATAACAAGCTCCTGCAAAATGAGGCCCTCTTTTCAAAGTCAGAATGATCATCCTGTTGAAACAAACTATTGCAAATATTATAAATATATTCTCTCTATATAGATAAAATCACAGATAAATGAAACCGTATACATAAAAATATACAGGCACCTTGTAAAACAATAAGCACTAAAAGCTATGTTAAGTACATGGAAGTGTAAGGTTTTGCCCTATTTTCCAGATAGCCTGTGAAATAGAATTCTACCAGAAGACCCAGAATTCCTTGATTAGCCACTAAAGACATTTTGGTACTTATAGCAGCTCCTGCAATTTTTCACCTACTCCTGAGTACTAGATCCTATGAGAAGTACTTTTATTCCAGCAGATGTACCTTAAAGAAGAATGCAGGGATTCAAGAAACCCAGATTTTATAATGCGCCTATCTTAACTCAAAGCTAGACACTTTCTGTCATTGTGGGTAATAATTAAACCTACCCTGTACTCTAGAATCCGACATCACAGTGGTCCAAATCTACTAAACAAACATCCCTAAAGTATTACTCCAGAACAAAGGGAGTCACTGCTTCTAGTCCTGTGGCATGCAGAAATGGAAGAGATTTGTCTCCCAGCTATGCCAGAAAATGTATTCCCAGCACATGGACTGAGCAGGGTGCACAGCAATCACAATCATCTGGCCTTTAATTCTCCAAAGGCAAAAGAAAACACTAAGGCATGTCTAACGTATGGACATTTCCACATCACCTTTCCTGGAAAGCACATGTTTCCTATTTTGAGGTCACCCTGACACACACCCTGCTGGAGAGCATCAGGACTGAGCTTGCTTCCCGGGAACTGTGCTGCCAACTGACTCTGAGCCCTGCCGAAAGCTGAGTAATGGAGCATTAAATGCCAACAATCTGGCTATCACAAGGTCTTAATCTCTTTAAGCCCCACAGGGATCAAGGCAAACATCAAACTAAGCACACCAAATGTGACTTCAGATAATTCTTGAGGCAGGAAAAGCCTAAAACACTGGTGAGAGCATGTGAAGCTCAGAATTATTTGTATTATAAACAGCATATTAAGATATCGTCCTCTAGGGCAGCATTGCGGGAGCATTGCCAGCCGTCCCATCAGGCTGCCATGTACTCACTCAGGGCATGGGCAAACGAGGATGCCAAATGCAAACAGAGTTACAGAGCATGCGTGCTATGGGCTTACCCAGGACTTCAGACACGGCGAGGAGGAGGAGATTAGTTTCATCTACATGGGATGCATGAGGTGGATTTAGTTTCATCTACATGGAAGCTTTGTGGTTTTGAAGTGGAATTTTACTTTGCTTTCTATAGTAGGGTGTGTGTTGGGTGCTATGGGGCATAATTATTATTTTTTAATTGTATGCCTTTGGATATGGCTGTGAATGTAGTGGAGAAAACATAACTTCTCAACTGTCCAGTATTTGAATCTTGATTCTTCAAACCAAGTTATTCCTTTGATGCTTTCCTCCTTTATATTTTGTCTGCAAATATAAATAATTACATATATATACACATATATATCATATACAATTATGGGGAAATTTTTAAAAAGTATATTTAAAACAGCTCAGAGTGTAACATACAGAAGAAACTCAAGATGGCTTATAGAGTGGTTGTGGTCCACTCTCTGCTGTGTGTTTGAATTTTGGCTGATACCTCTTTGCGACTGTGGCTCTTTGTGTCACGGACTGGTCATGACAAGCCAGTACTCAGATAGCCCACTTCAGACTAGTGTCAGGGAAAACAATAGCTTCCCAGAGCAGCTTCTCTCTGAAATGCTGCACTTTTCTTCTAGCTTTGTGTTTACATTATAATCTTCTATATGGTGAGCTGCAGGAGGAAGGCGTCATTTGAGAGAATCTACAGCAGCTCCCTAGGTAGGAGACACACAGAGAAAGAAATGCTGATGAGCCCTGTGTGAGAGATGTACCCCATCAGCTGCAAACGTGTATGTGTGCGATTAACAGGAGGGCTTTAATGTGGATATAATTACCATATGCCTGTGGAGGCTATAATGTTTCTAACCCACATTATCTGCCCACATTTACAGCATAAACTAAACAGCGCTAAGTAATGTGGTTCATTTCATCAGCACAGACCCTTCTTTCTCTTGCCAACGCAGCCAGTTCTGGCTCTCTGTTGGGTACACAGAGTTTGTGAACTCTTTTTGTGAGAAAATTGGTTTTGCTTATATAATTACTATTTCTTGCATTTTATTTAAAATCTGCATGTGGGAAAAATATGTGTAGATGCAGCTTATTGGACACATTTTCCAAAGCTGCATTAACAAGACACGCATGATGCAAATGTGTCAGTGCGGGTTTGTTTGGAACAGAGTTCTGATTTACATTAAACACATGACCTTACATACCATGTGGGGCATGACGACAGTCTATTCTTTTTCTGAGAGTCATGGCATTTGATTCACTTTGCCTGCTTACGAATGCAAAATGTTTGAAGAAATAAATGATAAACCCATATATTTTCCAATGTATCAATAATTATTTCTGTATCTGTTTATCCTGTTTGTTGTCCAAATTATTGATCCACATTTTATCTAGAATTGGTATAGAAATATCTGAACAGGAAAAAGGTTCTCCGTTTCCTTTTATAATTTTTCAGTTTTTTGAGAGAGATTTTCTCTGTGTACCCCTGGCTATCCTGGAACCTACTATGTAGACCAGGCTGGCCTTGAACTCAGGAATCCGCCTTCCTCTGCTTCCTAATTGCTGGGATTAAAGGTATGCACCACCACATCCCATTATTTCGCTAGCTATTTAACAATACAAATCAGTTTC